CATTAAAGGAAAAGCCAAATTCAATTATTGCGCCGGAAACTGCAGGAAAACTACATCATCAGGTCACGCACACACACACACAGAGTAAGGCAGCAGTCACTACTCTGAACTAGCCCTGACTTTAAGTTCGATGGTCTCCCTACGGAGCATTTTACTACGCACTATGAATAATTTGAACAGCTACTGAGCCTGTACAACTTGTGTGTTTGCTTCTCATCTAATGCAACTTTCTTGTTACTCTCTGTCCCTAAAATAGCTTTATTTTACTTTACATATCAATACATATCAGACAAAGAGCCAAAAATAGATTAAACTGTAAGATTAAAATTGACGAGGAACAGTCCCTGCTCCAGGTCTTTCTTCCAAACCTCAACCTGTTTAGGAATACTTGTCAGGGCTCTTTCACTTTAATCTGGCTCTGAACTCCTCTCTTCATATTTAATAATTATCTCTGCCAGGTGGAAGGGATCATGCATTAAGTTGTGTGTGTGTCACAATGTATCTGTCTGCAGCAGATCTCACAAACTACTGGACCAATCAGCCTAAGTTTTTGGTGTACACATTTATGACTGTATGCTCAAGGACCTCTCGAGGTTGCAGTGATTCAAAATTGTTGAAGAACCTGTTTTATTGACTGTTTAATACTGTCACCGACTGCTGACTGCTGACTGCTGACTCCTCACTCCTCGTAACTGGCCAGTAGAGGCTGAACATTTTCTTGAAATCGACTCGGCTAAATACAAATAGCCTTGGTATTTGTTAAAAGCCATATTTCGGCATTTTGGCTCAAAAAATGACGTCCATAGGAAGGTTTGGTCTCATTTTGAAGCGGAGCATCTGCAGATTAATTACATACCTGATATGTTATGATCCAATATAGTTAGGTAACATATAACATCTGCACTCCATTCAGTGCATTTTCTTTTTCCTCTTTTGTAATTGGTTAATTAAATTGTCTAATTCTTATTAGTCTAAATTTAGAGCTCAAATATGTTTGGAAGGTTTCCTCCATACAAAAGGAGTAACTATTATCTAGACTAAGACCTTTGTCAGTTCAATTTCACGACTCTCAGAGTCATGATTATAGTCCCTGAACCTAACCTAATGCTGACGTGAATTTTAATTCAAGTCTGAACCCTCAAACAGGCCTTTGAAGGTCTGTATGAAGGTGAGGAGAGGACGGGCCAAAATGTCTTCACTCTCCAGGTCTAAAACTCAAATTGGTTTCTGCAAAGATAGATGTACACACACACGCACAAAATACAGCAGCAGTTAACACTCTGAACTCACTGTGAACTCAATTCCAATTAGTCTCCAGCTGCCCTTTTCTCAAACTTTTATCAGTTTTCAACTGGCTATGAAATACAGAATAAATATCTTGTAATAAATTCCTTTTCTATGACATAATTTAAAGCATATGACATTTTTCTTTACAAAGGTGACTTGACACCATCATGACCTGGTGTCATCAACCACAAGTGTGTGAAAAGCCTCTCAACTCAGCAACTTTACACGGCCACCACCGCCTTATCACCCCATCACAACGCTCCTTCCTTCACTATCAGCCCAGCTGGGATGTACCCTGTCAATAAGTATCCAGCCCACTTCCAGGTGGCTCACATGTTGGACCTGTGTCTCACCTCTCCAAAGAAATCAGCACGTGTGTGTGTGCAGGAACATTGGAGATATTTTTAAGATATCTGTTATCTGTTTTAAGATACCTGTTTTGCGGCTCAACAGATATCTGGGATGACCTTTCTCTGCCCGATTTCAGCACAGATGGTTGTCTGCAAGACAGTGTGGTGTGATTTTAATCCCGTTATCCAAAGCTGAACCCAGTGTTACTCTTAGCAACTCATCTAGTAGCCATAACTGTCTCATTGTGAGGTGATAATGACTCCTTTTGCATCGATCTGACAAACAGGGTGTCAGCTTGAGTCAGTGTTTTCTGATTGAGATCACATCATTGTCACCATTTCAGGGTTAACTATAATTCACACACTGACGTTAACTTTAATAACCGGAGTGTTGCAAGGGATCATAATCAGCTCAACCTTATGAGTTCATTTACCTTAAAAAGTATAATGTCAGCATCATTAAAATGACATCTTTATCTGTTCCAGATGGAAACTTGTTATCAACACTGTTTATTCCATCATCAAAGTCTTCTGTTTTAGATTAGAGTCAATTAAGAGACCTTTGTGTAATGATAAAGATTATATTATTATGAAACAAGTATTAATTGACTGGAGTGATGTACACATCAAGGTTAATAGATCATTTGATTGACTCTTGTCTTTATCCAACTGCTACACTGCAAAAAAGGGTAGCCCAAATATAAGATATAAACACTAAATTTGAGAAGAAAATTACTTAAAACTAGTGAAATTATCTGTCCATGCAGCAAGTAAATTTTACTTGATAAGAATTCTTGAAATAAGATTTTTAAATCCAGAAATAAGTTGTCCCTGGTAAGTA